CTCCCAGGTGACACAGTTACAATGAAAGTAAGTCTCAGACATCTGTTAGCAAGGTGGCATAAAAACAGACACCAATGGAACAGAACAGAGAACCCTGAAATAAATCCATGCATTTACAGTCAACTCATTTTCAACAGAGCTGCCAAGGACATATACTGGGGAAAGGACAGTCTCCTCAGTAAATGGTGCTGGGAAGACTGGATATCCATATGCACAAGAATGAAACTAGACGCCTCAGCATATACAAAAATCAATTAAAAATGTATTAAAAACTGAAATGTAAGACCTGACAAAATAAAATTACCAGAAGGAAGCATTGGAAAAATGCTTCAAAACATTGGCCTGGGCAAAGATTTTTTGGGTAAGACCTCAAAAGCACAAGCAACAAGAGCAAAAATAGGTAAGCAGGATTACATCAAGCTAAAAACCTTCTGCATAGCAAAAGAAACAACCAACAAAGAGAGGAGACAATATACAAAATGGAAGAAAATATGTGCAAGCCATTAATCCAACAAAGGATTAATAACCAGAATATAAGCAACTCAACTCAATAAGAACAACAACAAAATCTTATTTTAAAATGGGCAAAAGATCTGAATGGACAGGTATGTTAAAAAATGATTGACACTGGCTGGGCGCGGTGGCTCACGCCTGTAATCCCAGCACTTTCGGAGGCCAAGGTGGGTGGATCACGAGGTCAAGAGATCAAGACCAACCTGGTCAATGTGGTAAAACCCCGTCTCTACTAACAAAACAAAAATTAGCTGGGCGTGGTGGTTCACACCTGTAGTCCCACTTACTTGGGAGGCTGAGGCAGGAGAATGGCTTGAATCCGGGAGGCGGAGGTTGTGGTGAGCTGAGATCATGCCATTGTACTCCAGCCTGGGCAACAAAAGTGAAACTACATCTCAAAAACAAAAACAAAAACAAAAACAAAAACAAAAAAACTCAACATCACTAATCATCAGGGAAAGGCAAATCAAAACCACAATGAGGTATCATCTTACTCCAGTTAAAATGGCTATTACCAAAAAGACAGAAAATAACAGGTGCTGGTGAGGATGTGGAGAAAAGGGAGTGAATGCTCAGACACTGTTAGTGGGAATGCAAATGCACAGCCACTGTGGAAAACAGTAGGGGAGTTCTTCAATAAATTAAAAATAGAATTAACATACGATCTAGCAATCTTACTGCAGATATATATCCAAAAGAAGGTAGATGTGGAATCAACTTAAGTGCCCATCAATGGATGAATAGATAATCTGGTATATATATACAATGAGATATTATTCAGCCATAAAAAAGAATAAAATTCTTGGCCAGGTGTTCTGGCTCATGCCTGTAATTCCAGCACTTTGGGAGGCCACGGTGGGAAGATTGCTTGAGCTCAGGAGTTTGAGGCCATCCTGGGCAAGAAGGCAAAACCCAGACTCTACAAAAAATACAAAAATTAGTCAAATGTAGTGGTGTGCACCTATAGTCCCAGCTAGTTGGGAGGCTGAGGTGGGAGGACTGCTTGAGCCCAGGAGGTCAAGACTGCAGTGAGCCATGAGTGTGCCACTGCACTCCACCTTGAATGACAGAGTGAGACCTGTTTCTAAATAAATAAATTTCTCTCGTTTGCAGCAACATGGATAGAACTGGAAATTAAAGTGAAATAAGCCAGGCACAGAAAAGACACTCTCACTCACATGTGGAAGCCAAAAAGTTGATTTCATGGAGGTGGTGAGTAGAATGGTGGTTACAGGAGGCTAAGAAAAGTAGGGGGAAGAGGGGAATGAAGAATGGTTGGCTAACGGGTGTAAAAATACAGTTGGAAAGAAGTTCTAGTGTTTAATAGTATAGTAGGGCAACTATAGTTCATAATAATTTATTGTATATTTCAAAAATAGCTAGAAGAAAACATTTTGAATGTTCCCGACCCAAAGAAATGATAAATATTTGAGGTGATGGATACCCTGATTTAATTATTACATGCTCTATGTATGTATCAAAATATTACATATAATCCATAAACATCTACAACTATTATGGATCAATTTTAAAAGCAGTCATACAGCCTGTTTCTATAGGATGCATCTTGCACAGAAGATACATCCAAGGCAGATGTCACACATTCTGGCAGAAGGATCAGAAAAGCTTTTGTTCATATCAGGCAATTAAGTATGTCATCTATTATGTATGTAAGATGCAGGATCATAATAGAATCCTAAGCCTAGAGTGCTACTTCAGTAAGAAGTTAGATTCCTGGGCTTGCCAAATTCGAATACCTTTTTAATGCAAGGGTGGAAATGCTGTACCATATACCTAACCAGTTTATATATCCTGAAGACTAGTAGGTTGAAAACTAAAGTTGAGATGTCCAATAGACAATTAAAACCACAGATCTCAATTTCAGTAGCAAAACTGGAGCTGCAGATAAAAGCAGGAACTGTCAGCATATGAGTCCTGGTAGTTAAAACCATGTAGGGGAGGAGATGCCCAGTAGAAAGAGTATAAAGCGGGAAACAAAATAATGAATCTTAAGCAAGTCCACTATTAAAGGTGCAGGCAGAGGACAAGAAATTAGAAAAGGTGATTGAAAAAGAAGAGTTAGGGCCGGGCGCGGTGGCTCAAGCCTGTAATCCCAGCACTTTGGGAGGCTGAGGCGGGTGGATCACGAGGTCGAGAGATCGAGACCATGCTGGTCAACATGGTGAAACCCCTTCTCTACTAAAAATACAAAAAACTAGCTGGGCGTGGTGGCGCGTGCCTGTAATCCCAGCTACTCAGGAGGCTGAGGCAGGAGAATTGCTAGAGCCCAGGAGGCAGAGGTTTCGGTGAGCCGAGATCGCGCCATTGCACTCCAGCCTGGGTAACAAGAGCCAAACTCCGTCTCAAAAAAAAAAAAAAAAAAAAAAAAAAAGAAAGAAAAAGAAGAGTTAGAAGGAGGAGAACTAGGGGTGTGTTATCAAAACCAAGGCAGGATAATTCAAGGGGAGTATGGTCCATCTGGTTAAATAGTGTATCCTAGATACAGTCCAGTAGAATAAGAAACTGCCAAGAGTCAACAAGATTTGGCAAAATTGTGACGGCAATGAGAAGAGATTTGGCAAAAGTGCGATGGAGAAAAGAGGAGAAGACCATGAACACAGGCAGCAGGAATAAACTTTCAAAAGACAAGTAATGTTTCTTCGGTGGCTGGAAGGAGGACAATGAGGATAGATGTGGATGTAGGCATGTTTGTAGGTCAGTTGACAGGATTATTGCATAATCATCCCTATTTTCTCTATGAAGTAGACGATAATAGCACTTTATAGGGTGTCTTGGACTGGGTATCTCATCTCTTTAAGATCACAGATGCAGAAATAAAAGAATCTGATGAAAGCTAATGATATAAATGGAAGACAACTTCAACAAGCTTCTAACACCGCATCTAAGTATCTATGGCCCCCATGGCCACAGACAGCTTTTTCTCTTATTCCATGCTCCAAGCAATAGTCAAACTATCGTTTACACAATTCCATCATTCTCAGTGAGTCAACTGTATCATTTTCTCTCTTCTGGATGGTTTACATCAGTGTAGAAAACATATGGTTATTTTTCCATTAAAACAAAACAAAACAAAACAAAAATTAAACCTAACTTGATTCTACTTCCCTTCAAGTTACTCCTGATGTCTCTTCTTCCCTTTATAGCACAACTTCTCCAAAGAGTTGTCTATTCTTGTTTCTCTCTCTCTATTCTATGTTGAACCCACTTCAATCAGACCTTTGCTCCCACCACTCCATTCAAACTGCTTTCATTAAGGTCACTAATTACTAAAGCCAATCGTCATTTCTCAGTGCTCATCTTATTTGACCTATCAGCATCTGTCACAATTCATCTGAAAACGCTTTCTTCACGTGGCTTGTCACACACCCTGGGATCCTTCTACCTCACTGCTCACTCCTTCTTGGCCTCCTTTGCTGGTCCCTCCTCTCGTCTCTAAGCTCCTAAGTTTGAGCGTCCCCATTCCAAACTTCCTCTCCGAAGTCTGAGTGTCCCCTGTTCCTCTTCTCCTCTACTGACTTGGATTTTTAGAGCTACTAAGCCTGCTATTTATACTTCCTGAACAGCCTCTTTGGCTGTTAGCAGTTAATTTGCAAAGCTGTTAGCCTATACCTGTGATTCTCACTTTCTCTCCTTTTTAGAAAACAACAGTCTGAAGGCCTGAGGATGGCTCTCTGTATTGTTTCTTGCTTTTGGCCCCTACTCAGAAGTCTTCTTAGCTTCGCTCAAGGTTTTGGTTCTAGTTTCAAAGGCCTGGATTTGCTAGAAGACTGACCTTTACGTGAGTAGGAGCGCTACTCTACTACAGGAAATATCTCGGGCCACACAGTGGCTCACACCTGTAATCTCAGCACATTGGGAGGCCAGGGCAGGAGTTAGAGATGGGGTTTCACCATGTTGCCTGGTGAAACTGCAAAAATTAGCTGGGCTTGGTGGTATGCACGTGTAATTCCAGCTACTTGGAATTGTACTTTGGGACTACTGTCTCAAAAAAAAAAAACCAAAAAACAAACAAACAAACAAAAACCTAGACACAAACAAATGAATAAAAAAAAAAACAAAACCAACAAAAAAAGAAATATCTTGGATTATGTAAGTCTTTGCCTAGAAAGATCACTAGCATGCTCATGTGTGTATTATTTTCCCATTTTTATCTTCCCATAGTGTTGTGAGGTTGAAGATCAAATAAAAAATAATAAAAGAGGCTCCTTTCTCTCAGAATTCTCTCTTAGCACCAGAAGTAAAAACTGCTCTATATGTCTTTTTAAATGAGGAAACTAATAAGAGTCATAGTTAAGAAGCCTTTCAACTGTGAGATATATAAGAAGCATTAGGTAAGGTCTTGCAGCTTTTATGAGACTACTAATCATATCTGCTTCAAATTGTTTGATCACTATCTTTATAATCCACCAGAGAACACATGAACACCTGAATTATTATTATGAAGTGAGCCCAGTTTTTGTACCTACCTTATATTTTGAAGTGTCCCAGTTGTGGACTATGCGTGCTGGGATGAGAAAGCTGTCGTCCACGTGGCAGCTGCTGCAGTAATACCACCCACTGTAGTTGCACACCTTGGCTTTCCCATTGGAAAGACCTATGGATCGCTGGCAGCCTGTTCAAGGAAAAAGAAAGAATCTATGATTGTTGTTGTACTTTTAACACCACAGAACAAGGTTATAGAGCTCTAACATCACAGAACAAGGTAAATGAAAGTCTGCAATGAAAAAGAGAATAGAGTTGTACAGTTGTGTCCTCTTCTTCCTAGTATGACAGCCTGTGCTTCACCTCCTAGGGTACTGCTATGCCATAAACTAGTGCCCCGTCTCTGGTCTCTTCTGATTCCATCTCTTCTGCATACAGCTGCCAGAGATCAGTCTCTCTATAACATCGCCTTTATCTCCTCACTGCCCTGCTCAGAACTCCATTTCCACCAGGCATTTTGCTGAGGGCTTCTCATATAGAATCTTCTTTAATCAGCACAACTTCTCTATGAGGAAGATATTATTGACTCTATTTTATAGATGAAGAATCTAAGATTTTTATGAGGTTAAGTATCTTTTCTCGGTTTACCTAGCCAAGAAAAAAGCCAGAGTTTGGATTTGGTTCTAAATTTGTCTGATGCTAAAATAATCCCCAAAACTGATACGTAGCCTTCCTTTGCTTATTACTAAATCACTGTAAGGAATTTGGCCTCTGATTGGATCTCGCCTTTTTAACTTTCCCTCCCACTACTGTCCGATGGGAATGTAATCACTTCATTCCAGTCAGAGAACCCTCCTCACTGGTACCCAGATAAACACAGCTTGCTTACTCCACCCTCCGTACATTAACACGTATTACCTCTCCTTACACAGCACCCTATTCTCTGCTCTTTACTTCAACGAATCTTACCTAAGACTTCTGGTTGCCTACAATGCCTTTTTCAGATCCAAGAAAGTCAGTGATTCTGTGAGCACTGTCTTGGTACTGTCAGGGAACTTGGTAATAATCGTAGCCCTTCCATAGGGAAGCCATTTGTTTTACTTAGGTAGGAAGAATGATCTTCTACTGAGTATGTAAATTCTATTATGATCATCCCCAAGGACAAAATCCTGACAGATCCAGAACAGGTAATCAAGAATACACAAATAGCATCAATATTCTGACATTTCTGGTCTGTAGCTTTCATTTCAGAAATGCTTACATGTGGCCCATTTTATGGTTGGATACCAAGAACTATATTGATCAAAAAGACTGGACATTAAGCCTATTTCATGAAGTAGAGCAAAAATGAATTAATCTTTCAACACTACTACAATTACTCCTACTACTACTAATAATAACATAATGATCAGTGTTGTAACCCATTTCCATTACAAGAAGGTCAAACACATTTATTTAACAAACTACCAACCTAAAAAGATTCTGATTCACATGAATTCCATGAATGAAAATATTGCAAGACTCAACAGAACTTTATTTTCATTACAAATACAATGGCATCAGTAATTAAGCAGTTTCTAGTGCATCCTCTGGAAAGAGAATTAGAGCTCATTGTTTTTAAATACAAGAGAAATAGGAAGAAGATAAGTAAATATATTAGTATTAGGCTTCCAGAGCTTGATCCAGTTCCTTTCTAGAATGGCTATTTCTTTACTATTGAGCAGCAAAAAAAATCATAACAAGCTCCTGTTCTTCAGACTGGCTAAGGAATGAGAAATGTGTGAAAGAAGAGTTGAAACCAACACACATGGAGCTCTTGATTGACAAAGGAGACCTTGCCACAGTTACAGTGCTGTGAATGTTGGAGTGCTGCTCCCTGCACTCACTGACTGCATTACTCATTTGGCATTTAGCACGTGCCTTTTGAAATTATCATGGCTTTTTATGGGCTTGTCCAACCAGGACCACGCTAGAAACTTCTCAGATCTATTTTTTTCATTCTCAGCACTTCACATAGAGCTTTATGCACAGGAGACAATCAATAAATATTTATGTTGTAGGAATGATAAACTGAGTACTATCTGACACATGCACATTCACATAAACTGTATATACAGAAATTTTAATTTTCCAAAGTGATTCCCAAACTGATCCGCTTAACCTGATCACCTGCTTCTCAAAACAGCCTTTCATTAATATCCCTGTTAAAATATGTTCCCCATTCTAAGAACTATATATGGCCCATGTTCACATAGAACTGTGGAACTGGCCAGGTGTGGTTGCTCACACCTGTAATCCTAACACTTTGGGAGGCCAAGGCCGGTGGATTGCTTGAGTCCAGGAGTTTGAGTCCAGCCTGGGCAACATGATGAAACCTTGTCTCTATAAAAAATATTTAAAAATTCACTAGGTATGGTGGTGAGGGCCTGTAATCCCAGCTACTGGGGAGGCTGAGGTGGGAGGATCACTTGAACCCAGGAAGTCAAGGCTGCAGTGAGCTGTGATCATGCCACTGCACTCTAGCCTGAGTGATAGAGGAAGGCCCTAAGGAAGAAAGAGAGAGAGAGACGGAAAGAAGGAAAGAAAAAAAGAAAGAAAAGGAAGGAAGGAAGAAAGAAAGGAAGGAAGGAAAGGAAAGAAAGAAAAGAAAGAGAGAAAGAAAAGAGAGTGAGAGAAAGAGAGTGAAAGGAAAAGAAAATGAACTGTGGAACAGAGTTCAGTGGAACTTAACATATCCTAGACAGTGGGATACTGCTGTTTCCAAAAATTAATAGACAAATTGGCTGACACTAAAATGACACTGAGTAGAATCCAATCTTTCCTAATGACTTAAAAGGTGATTATGATCTTGCATATATTCAGGATTATCGTTACAGTTTAAATTCTCACCACAGAACACTGAAAAAATAAATTTTGGACGTAACAGACATCAATAAGCATTTGCTGGATATTTATATATTCCCTAGTAGGCACTACTGGGTTTATGTCTATAATTTTAATGACCCTATTCTAATTTTCTGGATGCAACATACATAGGCAATATTAAAATACACAAACCTCCATTTTAAGAAAGCCTATAGCCTAAGAACGTTCATATCAACTGGGCACACAGATCCAAAGCTCAGCATGCTGGGGGATCAACTCAGTTAACTAAGTTAACATCCTCACAACTGTGCACAGGTCTCCAGGCTCATAAAAGACAGAAAGGATGAGAGAAAATGGATAAGGTCCATTCAGGTTTTAGTTTAGACAAGAGCAGCAGCACACAAACACCTACCTTTAGTCCTTGGGTGTCTACTTTCATACCTTATTAAGAACCATGCTATCCTACTTTTGGTGCTGAGATCACCCTAATGACCCAGAAGTAGGTTTGAACCTGACGGCACACTCAAAACTACTTTAGACACATGGGGTACTGACAATCACTAGTCTAAAGGCAGGAAGCCTGAGTCTACATAGGGACCACTGTGAGCCTGACCATCAGCCTCTCTAGGCCTTGACTCCTCACCACAAAATAATGTGCTAGCCTTGATTGATGAATTGCCAAATTTGAGTGAGCAATGGAATTTTCTGAAGACGTGTGTGAAAAATGTGGATGCTTCTTCCCACTGAGGTGATTTTGACGCTGTAGATCTTGGGTACGGACCAAAAATCTGCATTTCTAATGAGCATCCTCCCCCTTCCCATCCTATCCCCAGCCCACACAAGGGACTTTGATGGCTGAAAGCTGAGAATTACTCCCTGATTTCTAGGTGACCTCCAAGGTCCCTCAAGCTCTAAAATTCTGCTTCTATCCAACAGAAGTGCAGAGGGTGTGCAGATCGCTCAGCAGAAGCTCAGAACCTGTCACATAGTTTACCCTGTAGGCTTCAAAAAAAATCAATATTTTAGGTTCTCAGTCAATTTCTAAAAAACCAGCTATGTAGAAACAACCTGACTTCATTTTGCCAGTGTTTTTCCAGAGCATTCTTGTCTCCACTGGGAGTATCCTATTCACTTTAGAAAGAATGAAACTTTTAACCCCTAAATCCAATGTATTTGTATTTGAAAGAACATAGAATGGTTGGAAAAGAAGATTAGAGGCTAGTTAGTGGCCTGATGTAGATTCATTTTCTAAAAAACAACACATGCCATTTATTTGAAGAAGGAAACATGAGTTTTTTCAATTAACTGCAAGATTTCCTTTACTATCATAGTAGCAAATCATGCACTAAACTGTCTGAAACAATTCCCCATAAACATACACAATCTGGGATTTTACTTTATCATTGTGGGGTTTTTAACAGGGGAAAATTTTTTCTTAATAATCACTGTTACAAAAAAACCATTTTTTTAGAAGGTGCCAAAGCTGGACTCTGAAAAGCTACATTATGGGGAGAAAAATAGGGCTGTAAAGTAGAGACAAAAAGTAATTAATTGAAATAACTAATTAGGGCTTATTTACATATTATATTTTTATGTACTTTCAAACAGACTTTTCAGCAATGTTTCTAAATTAAAGGGCGTTTGTAGTAGGGAACACTCCACATGTTGGATCAAAGCAAATACATTCTTCCCAGACTCTTTTTGAAACTTTTCAGAGAGTGTATTCAATTCATAGGAACAAAAACTATCTCACCAGAGAACCCACTGGCCTTTTTTTTATTATTGCCTCCCACTCCACTTCAAATCTTTAATGAACACATGCTCTGAAGAGCTTAGCCTCCCCTCTGATACACTCTTGGAAACAAATGTCACCATTTAACCAAAATCCTATTTGCTGCATATACTGTCCATTTCCCAAATGGCCTTTCACTAAATACACCCAAAAGAATCTATTGCTGGGGATTGTGCAGAATTTTGGCATACTTCTCCACAAAAGCACAGTCTTTCTTCTAACAAGTGTACCTAGTTAGCTCAACGGCTGCAGTTGCGACAGAAGCTGTGCTCCTGAGGAAGAGCCAGCCACCTTCTCTCTACTTTATGACTACCACCTTCAGCTCTCCGTTCCCCGACCAGTAGTTGGAAAACTCATGGGCATAAGAGGGAAGAATGAGAAAGCCGTGGCTGGATCCAAATGCATCTCTCTCACTAAGGAAGGAACTCATACAGTGCTAAGTGTGGTCAGTTATCCCCCCACTTTCCATCTCTTAAAGTAAGCTTTTACCTAATTCAGTAAGGTAAATCCAGTCTTTTGCATTTAGAAGGTAG